AGGAGGCCCGCGCCCCTGCTCCCTCCTGCATCCCGGAACCCAGGCCCAAAGCTGAGTCAGCTCTGTCCCCCCAAGTCACACACCTCCTCTCTCCCCATGTCTTGTGATGTAAAAAGAGGGAAAGAGCCAGGACTTGGCCCTAGCACTGTGTCAATGCTGAGACAAGGTGTCCCAGCCCCCCATTCTGAAGGGTTGGCATCTTGGTACCTGAATGGCATCATCCACACATAGAACTATAACCTCACCGCAGCAGAAAACCGAAGAAAAGGGCCGGCCCGTGGCTCACTCGGGAGAGTGTGGTGCTGATAACACCAAGACCCCGGGTTCAGATCCCATATAGGGATGCACCAAGACCCCGGGTTCAGATCCCACATAGGGATGGCCGGTTAGCTCGCTGGCTGAGCGTGGTGCTGACAACACCAAGTCAAGGGTTAAGATCCTCTTATCGGTCATCTTTTTTTTTTATAAAAACAAAAAGAAAACCGAAGGAAAAAGTTAGTTTCTGGCCATTTCCTCCTGACGTCTTGAATATCTGTCCTCCCTCCAGTATGCCCAGCATTCTGACCCATGCACATTGAGTACAACAGCGACATGAAACGTGTGAAAGGGAACTTTCTCTGTTGAGGGGCCTTTTTGGCAGGGTTATGTCTTGGGGATTAATTAAGTCCTCAACTCTGTCCTAAACCATAAAAACTTCCTCCAAGACCCCCTGGGAAGCTCCCTGCAGTGATGACTTCTGGTTGTTCACGGCTGGCTCCTGTTCTGCCAGGTACACCTTCCACAACCAGTCTTTTTTTTTTTTTTTTTTAAAAAGATGACCGGTAAGGGGATCTTAACCCTTGACTTGGTGTTGTCAGCACCATCTCAGCCAGTGAGCGAACCGGCCATCCCTATGTGGGATCCGAACCCGGGGCCTTGGTGTTATCAGCACCGCACTCTCCCGAGTGAGCCACGGGCCGGCCCCCACAACCAGTCTTGACAAGTTCTTTGAACCCCAGGCAAAGAGGTGGGCTTGAGCTGTACCCCAGATACACCCTTTTTGTTGAGATTCATTCAGTGTGTTTTGGGAAGGTCCTCTGTGCCATGACTCAGGACCCCTGCTCTCAGGGACCTCAGGGTGAGCAGGGATAAATGGGTGCCAGGGGCAGTGGGGGCACCAAGGAGGCCCCTCACACCCTGTCAGTCAAAGGGGGTTCACTGGGGCCTTTCCAAGATGAATTCTGCAGGTGACCAGGGGTTAGCCAGGAGAAGGGCTGACACTCTTGCCAGGCATTTAACTTTTTT